AGTCAGCACCCGCCGCAGTGCCAGGTGGGGAAAACGGACCAATCCCAGGCCCTCACTTGGTCGGGGGGCTCTGATTGGTGGATAGAAAATGCTGGTGGTGGGCGTGGTGGGAGAAACCATAAGTGGGGGGAAAGGCGGAGGGAAAGGCAACCCCTTTCAGAAATCAGCCCGAGAGGACAGAGAACTCAGAGGGATGAGGGAAAGACGGAAGAATAGAGCCAGATCCCCGGAACTCCTCTCTATGCCGTCGCGGTCCGACATTTATGCCCGCCTGCCGTGTTAGCTGTCCCCCCTGCTCTTGCGTTGGAATAGTCCAACCGCCTGTTGGGGGAGGCCAGCCTTCTCATTTCCTTCAACTATTGGTCCAAGTAGCTGTCGCTCACTCCTGACAGGACCAATCAGCTCGCGCAAGCTGCCCGAGAAGGGGTGTCACGCGCAGTCCCCTCAGCGTAGGGCGGGGCTGTGGCCGGTCCTTCCCGCTGGCCTTTGTGGCGCAGCTTGTAGAACGAGCCGGTGAAGTCCACGGCCAGGGGTCTGTCTGCGAGTCCGCCTTCCCCAGCGGGCATCGCCGGCAGCAGCTCCGGGACCGGCGGGGGGGGGGGGGGGGGGGGGGGGTCGAGCCAAACGCGGTGAACTCGAGACCGAAACCTGGCACGAAGAAACGGGATCGTAGTCATCAGCCTCCCTCAGCGGTCATTGGAAAAGCCAAACGCTAACCAAATTGAATCAATTTAAAGACGTGACTATTCTTAGGGTTCAAAACGCCTGACCGCACTGTTGATAGTGAAACTAGCTTTCAGCTGGTATTTTTCAACACTTGAGTGAGCGAGACTAAGTTTGTAATCTCATTTCAACCAGCAGTACTGCTGGTCTTCTGAGAGATCCAGAAGGTGCTTACGGTTGACTGCTGATTTGTAAAATTTTTTTCTTTCCCTAATGGTATCCTTAATAGCTTAAAGTTTGTACCCATGACTATTTAACAGAAAGGACACTATTTATTCTTCATAAGGCCTAGTCTTTGCAGTTCAGTCGGTTTTAGCATTTTCCAATTTGTGGATATACTTTTCCCCCTATGAAACTGGAGTGCAGATGTAGCAATTTCAAGTCTCGACAACAGGAATGCTGCTTTTCATCTTGTCTTAAATCTCTTCAAAGCTGGCGTTTCCAAATGCCATACATTGCCAAGATCCTTTTTCTTGTAATCGTTTGAGAGCTGTTGGGAAGCTTGCCATTGGATTTATCACATCCCTTTTGCATTGTTCCACATTTGTTTTCTGTTATTCCTGTAACACCAGTGCTGTTTGTTAGTTACTTTGTGCGTGTGTGCAAGTCTATGTTGACTGCAAAAGAGATGATGAAAGCCAAGTTAAGGGATCAGAGGTTAATACAAATGAGGGGGGCTGTCTGAGGTATGGGACAATTATTTAGGCTGGATGTCTACCTGATACTGCTTTATTTCTCCACAAGATGGAAGCCAAGACCCGCGTCTAACCCAGAGCCTCCTGTATGGCTTTTACTGGAGAACTGCACACTCAGTGCTGTATTGTACAAGCAATGGAGAGAAACTTAGGAAGAACAGTCATCTCCTTCCTTACACATTCTAGTACCCCTTTCTTTTTCCATCTTGTAACCATACTGTTTTATGAACACTACTATCCTAGGCCATAGCCAGTCAAATGGAAGGCTCTATACAGGACCCCATCAAGCATTTTGGGTCTGTCTTTGGTGCAAGCGAGTTTGTTATTTCCCTTGCCTTGACAAATTACTGTCTTGCATTCTGCCGTTGCCTCTTCCAAATTAATACAAGTAACAATTATTACTGGTGATACTGAAATCAGCTGCTTGCCACTTAAGGCAAGAGACTCTCTCTATTCATTCACAGCTTTTAATGCAAATGTAAGATGACGAGATACATCCGTCCTAATATATATTTTATGTCAGTTGCCTGTGATGATTTGATTTCTTATTTGAAATAAACTCTGCAGGGTATCTGCACCAAACACTAGGTTTCTCCATGTATGCAATATAGGGCAGGGCAGAATTCATAACTGCCTTTTCCAGTTCTTCAGACTATACTGCCATGTAGCTACTTGCTGGCTTGTGCTGTAAAAAGAATCCTGGCTTGAAGGGCCTGGAATGTACTTGTATTCTTCTTAAAAAAAAAAAAAAATACATCTGACTTGACTGGAACACAAACACAATTATATGTTGGGTAGAAATGGGAAAGGTCTTTTTTTGCTAGGAAAAAACCCAAACTAAGTAAAACAACAGAATTGAAATTCCATTTCTGCTGAATCCATTCTCTTTTACCATTGAGTTGCTGAGCTGAAAAACCATTATTTGCACAGAGGTACTCCATTATACCTGCACAGCTCAAAATCATCGCTCCCTGCTGTGGAAGTTTTTTTTTTCTTTTTGCTAGTTACACAAGTTGCCCTAAACCCTGCTTCTGCTACAATTAAAACACTGCACTGCATATTTATTGGCCAAATAATACTTCTCTTCGCTCTGTTTTAAATCTGCATAGTGATTCCTGATTGCTGGCCTCGAGGATCATCACCCTGTCAGAAAAGATCAATGTAGTTTGATGTATTTTAAAAGCATTGAAAAGATACCTTCTTTATACGTGCACACAATTGCCTAATGCTAGTAATGCAGCTCACACAAGCTCTCTGGCCACGCCTGGTGACTACATTTCTCTTTATTTTGCTGTTTCAGGGGTTCAGATACAATAACCACATTCCTAGCACTGCACAAATGGCACTTTCAGTACTAGATCACACACACCCAAAATACATCACAGGAAAGATTTCTGAAAGCAACATACAAACAAATTAAGGGATCAAGCCTTTAGCACAATGAGCTCAAACTACATCAATGTAGTTGCATTTTTCTCCAGAATATTGTGCTTTTTTCTTAGAACTATTACACTTTGAGCCGTAACAGAATGAAATTACAAAAGCATTCGCTAGTGTCATGATCCAGCAAATTACAGCGCAGTGGGCAGATACTCGACTCCAGTTTCTGACATCAGAAAGTCTCCTCGGTCAGAGGAGTTCATAGGCCTAAGGTAAAGCTGTAAAACCTTTCAGAATTTTCACCTTAAGACAGCAAACTCTCTGTATCCACCTAATTTACATTTACAGACACAATTTGCAATCACTGTTTGGAGCTGGGGTGCGCAACCAAGTGTGTGATCATAAAGGCATACAGTGTATGTAATGTCATAGATTCGCAAAAGCAGTTCCTCCATGTATTTCAGAGAAATACGAGCTCTGCATGTGGCTAATGCACACGGAGTTCTACGCGCAGATGTAGAAGTTTTGTGATTTTAGAGATGTTGGAAATATAACTATTTTAGATGATAAGTATTAAGAATTGTTCCTCCCTTCAAAGAATGATGCAACAAAACATCCATAGAATAACTCTAACAGGACGTCTTTGCCATTTTTCATTTGCAGTTAATGTTTTATTAATCACTCTTCCTTGTTTTAAATTATACTTTGTGGTTGAATCTGAAACCAGAAAAACTATCTCCACACACGCACCCATCTAGCACAAAATTAAATAAACAACAGAATGCAGAAAGAAAATCTAATAATATTGGCACTAATATTTGCCAACACTCACATTTTGGCTCCTGATATTTTTATCTTTCTGAGACAGTGCTGTTCCAAGTCTTACATGTCAGATTTTGCCTCCAGCTAAGCATGCAGCAGCCAATTCCTCCCTTCCTTCGTCCCACAACAAATCCACCATCAAGCAGTTGATCGGAGCAGATCCAAACCTGGAGAGGTAAAACTACAGGATACAGGGGAAAAGCTGCAGGACAGTCAGCTCTTGAGCTTCTAGAAACAAACGATTGGGCATAGCAAGGTGCCGAACACAGCAACACCCCCAGCACTCTGCAAGCCGTTTCTGGTGACTGTGGAGAAGGTTGGACCAGCCAAGAGCAGGCATGGCTGCAGGGCCTCCTCCTCCTCCTCCCCTGCCTGGCAGCTTTGATTCCTCCATGTGCTCTTCGTACATTTAGAGGCTTGACACAAAATCTGCCCCCCATGCTCTTGGCTCTCTGGAGGACCTCAAACTCAGCCAGAAATAAACTGCTTTCTGCTCCATCGTACAGAAAAACTGAGGTTCATGTCTAGAGGACAGCAACAATGACTCAAAATATCTGGGGATAGATTTTTATTTTTTTATGTAAAAAAAAAAAGTGTATTCTTGCTTTATAAGAGATTTTTGTCCCCATTTTCCTTTAGACCTGGTCCCTTCTGATGGGTTTTTATGTTTCCTGCTGTTCTTGACAAAAAACCTCTTTCTGCAGTAGAGGAATTTATAATTAAAAATGCAACATTCTCTGTGATAATAACATTTGCAACACTATACAATTATTTTTCTTCAGTGTAACTCACATTAACACTAGGTGCACTTACAATATTTAGTCAGATTTTTTTTTAAATTATTGGATGAGGAAATACATAATATTAACACTTCAGCACATTAAACAAACATACCAATTTCCTACAACAGAGACTTCTGCCTTTGGACTACATGATAATGCATGACCATGAATGAAAAGATGAAATTTAGTCAGGAAAGGAGAAGGACATTTCTCAGTGCGAAAGGTCACTAGCACGAGCAGTTCTGCTGCGAAGGGGGTGGGTTGTCTGTGAGGCGCATGCTCCTTCCAGAAGTGCCCCTGGAAGGGTCTGATTCTATACTCTCTGACATCTTTTCACAGATTATATCCACGAGACGCTCAAACACCTGCCTTACGTTGATGTTTTCTTTGGCACTAGCTTCAAAATAGTCAAAACCTGTGAAAAAAAGTGAAAAAAAAAATCAATGGAGACTGATGATAATGGAGATGGTTTTTAAAATACTAACCGATTTTTTTAGAATTCACCTTAAGAAAACAAGACATGAGACAATTCTTAAGCTCGGTTGATTCCCACAATCTCAGAATACTGAGCAGAAATACTTCTAAAATTTATCAAGCATCAGTAAGAGTCAAAGGCATAAATGGATCCCTACCATAGCCCTGGTAAACACATCTGCAGATGATACAGATCTGAATAAACTCAGGACAAGGGAGTCAAATTCTGCCGATGCCACTAACTGGTAATGTACGGAGGGGCCTTCTTGGGCTCCACACACCCCCGCACGACAGGGCCAGGTTTACTCTACAAACCACTACTGCAGTCTGGCAAAAGGAAAGACCAGGAGGAGAAGCGGGATCATGGCTGTATTCCTTCTGCTGACCAACTTCTGCACTTGTGAACAAAATAATCCACGATTTTGGTCCTGTTTTTCCAGTTCTTTGATTAGACGGAAAGCTTTTCAGGGTGATTAATACTTGTACAGCACATGTCACAACACAGCACCCATCCTGACAAGGGCCGTTCAGCACTGCTGAATTACAAATAATGTGGAGTGCCTCCTACGGGGTAATTTCAGTGTCCAGTGACCAGCTCCTAGCTGTAGTGATGAGTACGGATTCTCAAACACCGACCCTTTCTGATTAAAAAAAAAAACCAGCAAGGCTGGAGTTATGCCAAGGTGGGGATGGCACACAGATAGCTATTCCTGCTGCCTCCCATTGACACCCCGTGCTACACAAGAACCAGCCTTCTCACAGATGAGCCTGCACCCTGCCTCAGCCAGCAGAAATGCGCTGAACTGTGAAGCATTTCTTTATCTTTCTAACCCCAGAGGCCTCAAAGGCCAACCATCACTCACAATGGCTGTTGCTTCTGTTCTACCAGGTTGTTATATTGCCAAAAGCGAGAGCTCAAGCACCACAGAGTTTATTTTGCAATAATCTACATTCTGTTGTGCTTCATTTTGGGGCTATTCTGCATTGCATCAGTTTTCTTTGATTCTGCCACAAACGAAGAGAAAGATAAGTCGTCTTAACTGATTAGCCTGCCACTGCTGGTAGACTGAGTCACCTTGACGTGTGAGATAACAAGTAGGTATCTACCCCATTCTAACACTTTTTAAAAATCATGGGACAACAGGTGAAGTGATGGTGGAGACGTTTGCCTCATTACTAAATAAGGACAGCTGTCCTGCATCAGAGGAGGGTTCTGTCTGCCCCGCTTGCTGTCTTTGATGATGATTAAAAATGTGTATGAAAGGCACAAGAAATCAGAGAACTGAACTTGGATATTTGTCAGTCCAGCATTGGTTTAGCTTTTGCTGTAGCTGAATCTCTTTTGGTTTAGTTCACGTTCAGGCCAATAACAATTTCTTAATCTGATTAGGAAATTATTTTGATGATGTTAATGTCACTATACAAACTTGGATAAACACACTGAAGGATAACCTTTATGTGAATCATTATGATGAAAGCTAGCAGTTTAAGCAGTCAATAGTCAATTAAAAAGATTCCTCCCACCTAACACACAAAGTAATTTCAGATAACGCTGTACACGTTAGCACAGCTAATATAAGGAAAAAACAACTGATATAACCAGACATATTTTTCAGCCCTTTTAAAAAAGCATTTAGTATTTTGGGAGGCTACAGAAGAGGAGGACTGGGACAGCACTTTCCAAAGGCATGGTTAGCTTTTGTTTTGCTCTGCACCGGGGTATGTTTCTCCAGGGTGAGCTGGACGAGCACAAGGACAGGCCAGGGGCAGAACTGGGCATTCTTCAGCAGAACAGTTTCGTACTGGTAGAGTCAGTTGCTATGGTAACTCTGTGCACGTGTGTGTTTTGAAGTGTCCCATACCTAAAGGATTCAGATTCTAGATGCCAGGTTTGTATTTAAACAGATGAATTTTGGAGGGAGAAAAAACATGAGAAGTCCAAATAGGAGTGGGAGTTCCAGTAAAACTCTCTATTTGCTGTTACATGTTCTGGACAAATTTTCAGCTACTAACAGCGTAATTACTCTTGCAAAATATGGGGGCCCACTTGCATTCACAATGGTTTTGAGAGTCTGCAAGCCAGGAACCGAGTTTATTCACGTATTTTCAAAAGCAAATGAGATTCTGATGTGTAAAAAAGAGCCCATAGCTGATTTTGCAAACTAACCATGTCTTTGTTTGCTTTGCTAGTCCTACATGTAAAGAATTATTATTACAATAATAATAATGATGGGAAATTAGAGGGTTTAGTTTGGTATTTGCTCATTATTTGTTTATGATGGCGGTGCCTCAAGGCTCCAGTCATGAATGGGACCCCTTTGTGCTTGGCACATGTAGAATTTACACTTGCAGGCTCTAAACCTGCAGGCCTTTGCAGACATGCTTTTTTTTTTGCACGTGAAACATGAAAAAATAATCTGGTTGCTCTTAACTCTTTGGAACAGTGACCATCTTTTTTTTTATATCACACAGGTCCCTATTACAAAGCCATACTTTACACTCATCTATGAACAAGGTTGCTATACCTTCCCTGCATTAAAAAACCAAAACAACACTAGCAAACCCCCAACTAGTAAGTACTCATTATCTAAGATTTAACCATAATTGGCAATTTGATTAAGGTCACACTTTAAACTACAACAATGTATGCAGTGTGTACTGGAACTCCAGTACCCCCAGTTTAACAACATATTATGCACCCTCCAATTACTGCTTAAGAATTGAAGACAACATTGGATTTTATAAATTGGGGATAATGGTGATTCCTTTGGGTCTGGTAAGAATCTCTACTCTTACGTGCTAAACAAATATTTACAGTATGCCCACTGTAAGGGTCTCTACTGCTAACTGAATTAAATTTTAACAGGATTTACTTGCCACTATGAGTTCTTTAAAAGAAGACAACAGTATAGTTAAATCTTAACACAGAAGCCCTGATTCCATGTTAAAAAGATCATATACGCTATGATATATAATGAAAAATGATAAATATATGAGAAATTAGGATGAGTTTATTTTGCTGTTCATTCTAAAATTTCCATTGCAATCCCAGCTTTCTCTCAATGGAACTGTTTTGCTTTTTCTATCCCATATCAATAACATAATGTCATTTCCCTACCTGGATAGAGAAGGCTGGTGCATTTTTAAAATATATTTTACTCAACTCTACAGTTCTGATGTATAAACTTCTTTTTTCATTGTTTAGTTGCAAAAAAAATTTATTCTACAAAAATCAATGTTTGCATTCTGAAAATGACTATATGGTACTTAGAGAACTGGAGACAGAATTGTGTTTATGAAAACTTTTTCTCTTTTCATTCCACTGAGCTAATAAAAGCTGTCCTCTCCAGACAAACTTTATCTTCCTTACATCCTTAGATATTAGCTTTACAGGTACAGCAACACTACACAAGGTCGTATTCAGCATTAAGCAAGTAAAATATGGACCTAGAATATATTACGCTTCTTAGTTGTGATACCATTATTAAAGTATTGCTGCTGGAAGGACTTCTTATCGTACAAATTAAAAGGAACACAGTATAAAGAAGCAGAGGAAAAAGAGTAGAAAGAAAAGCTTTGACATGTACCTAGCTGATCCGCCAGATGTTTCCCCTTCTCCACAGGAACAATTCTTTCATCCTCCATGTCACATTTGTTTCCGACCAGGATCACTTGTGCATTGTCCCAGGAGTAAGTCTTGATTTGTGTGGCCCTACAGCAGGTCAAAAAAGATTGTTACCTTCAATCAGCCGTGCCAAAATACAATCGTATATTACGTATGAAAACAAGCACCATTGAAGACAACATCAACATCTCAAGACTGTATGTTGGTTAAAAGACAAATGACCAAGCTTACACATAAAGCAAGAATGCAGACTATGTAATTTATAGCACCATTCTATTTTACTACTCCTTAACTTTGTGTGACAATAAAGTTACTTGCTAAGACTTTGCAAATGTTTTAAAGATCATGACATCCAGACAAAAAGCTGAATTGAATAATTTTTGAAGTCTAGGGGAAAAAAAGCATTCTTCTAAAGCTCATTCTCCTTCAGCTGTAATCTGTCAGAGGAATGAGAATCAATTACACCTCTTAAGGATACTCTCCCTATAGAGAAAGCCATACAATAGATACACGCTTCATGCTAGATTTACAACTTCTTGTAAAACACATCACAACAATAATTCAGAGCAGACAAAAAAGATGCTCATTTGCTGCAGCACATTTGCTGCAGAGTTTTAGTAACACCACAAGAAATTGTGTTTTGAGAGTCAAACGGAAGCATCAAGTCATCTTTGCTTGAACAGGAAAAATGGTTCATGGAGACTGAAAAATTGCATAGAAACGTGGAAACTATTGCTAAAAAGAAACAGAAATTTACCAAATTGGGAAGATATGGGATCAAGGTAAGACTCTGTGAGCTAATATTTGAACCCAGCAGGATTAAGTGATACCTAAGGCAGGGAACAGCAGATGCAATGACAGACGGCAAGTATCAGACAAATGCTAACTTCAGTGACAGAGGGATCAAGTGCATGGGAGCTTAAGCAGGAGCACTGAGATGAACTTAAAGCCTCTAAAGCTCTCTGTGGCTCATGTGCTGAAACTGGAGTGGAGCTAGCTGTGGATCCCAGGAGTCTGACCTTACATTTGGCTTCTTTATAGATTTTCTATGACAGAAGATTTTTTTTTCTATTTATCCTGAGGGGCCAGTCCTTTCCCACCATCCTTGGTGAGGTGTCACAGAGCCAGCAGCAGAACAGTTTTAATTTGGTAGCATTCATTTTCATCCATTTATTGAGAGTGGCCCAACCTGTTTTATCTTCACCAAGTCAGCTCTATCTTTTAAGACTCCCTCCTTCCCAAAGGTAATTAGGTTGCTCTACCAGAAGCGATACACTCCTTCCCTCCTCCACCCCTCCTCCAGTCCCTAACTCGCCTTCCCACTCTTTGTCCCTGCTCGCCACCCCTCCATACAGGACACTGCAGTTTCAGGCAAACCTGCCATTTCCCAGGAGAGCCAGGAGTCCCCTCAGATTTCACTTCTGTTTAGCTTGCTTGAACTCCCTTAACAATAAAGCATTTGATTCCTTCTCTTTTGAATTAGCAGCAGCCTCCAGCTCTGATCTACTAATGATAATTTTTAATTAGTTTGAGTTGCTTACTTGCCTTTTCCATGGAAAGCAGACAGTCATGTTACTCCACAGATATCTGTGAAAAAGGGGGTCATTTCACTGTGCAACTTGCCTGTAAGCAGTAGCCTGTTTGGATTGCACTAGGAAAACATAAACCTAAACAAAGCCCACTGCACAAGCCCAGACCCATACTGCAACACACAAAAATAATCAAGGACTTTGTGCAGTGAAACTTCTTACTCTTTTTAGTGTCCTCCTCCTGGAAAGGCACTCACTCCAATCCCAATTTTGGCCCCTCCACTTTCACCCTTCTGAGGGCCTGCATGTAGACAAGCCCTGTGAGAGCTAAGATGAGTCTGTGATGAGTTTATGCGGTACTCCGGGGTTTCTCAAGGCTCATCACAGAAAGGGATGACCTCAGAAATCAACCAAAGCCCAGGAAGATGGAATCTCCCCAGTCTCCCTCTATAAGCAATAGAGAGAAAGAAAGTCTGTCCAGGTTCAATTTAAAACACCTATAACCAGGCTTCTTTTCTGACTCCCATTCCTCTCTCTGGATTAATTTCAGCCCCTGGGGGGTCATATGGGGACACACTGCCAAATCTTAGCTATTTAAACAGAATTATTTAGAAAATGAAAAAGAAGAAAAAAGCATGAAGGATCTCCCACAGAAAATCATCCTTCTCCTTGTTTTGTACAAGTTAGTGAAAATCCTCTCTTGCAGAACACTGCCATTTACACTTATTAAGAATAAAAAACAAACAATCAAACAAAAAGTTATGAAGAAAAATGTCTAAAAGAACCCCTGATCCCCATACAAAAAGAAAGGCAGCAAATTTCCAGAAGCTTTTGGAAAGGTAAATAAATAAATAAATGAAAAGGCTTGCACAATTGAGATGTTTCGACAACTATCAGGGCAGTCCAATATACACACTGGGAAAAATATATTTCTGTGACACAATAACAATGCTGTGCCTTATTTGTGCTGAATTCCCTAAATTAACGATAAAGCACGGTTTTTATGCTTCACGCTTAGAAGAAAAATAGTCTCTCAGGTTCACAGTTACATGGATATATCAACAGCCTAATTTGGAGATCAGCCTTAAAGATAAATAAAGCTGATGATTTGTGAACCCAGCTGTCACTTAAATCTAAGTTAAATTTAACCAATTTTTTCTTCCCTTATATGAAATTGTCTAGGTTGTCCAAAGCAGAGTCTCCATAATAGTTTCTATTTACTTTACAGTATCAAATGCTGAGTATATTCTAGTTTCAGTACAGTTTCAAATGAGGTATAAACCAGTGATTTATCTACACATAAAACTATCAAGCCAATGTTAAATAATTTCTGTCAAAAAGCCTACTAAAAAAATCTAGAAACTGAGCTGAAAGCCATGAAAACTCATTTAACCCTTTCACTCACCCTACAGGAAAGATGTCTTATTATTCAAACAAAATAATTAGTTATTTTCAAATATCAGATAAAATCCATCTTTGCTTTTGCTCATTTATGCTTTTTCTTCTAAAATAACCTGACTGTACTCTTGCCACACTGCAGTAATGAAAATCACTCAGGCTTAATCTCTTAAGGCTTCTCATACAATCTGCTGTACCTTTCCCGGTGAAGGAACGAGAACAGGTCATGTCCTAGATACTCCCAAATGCATTTAAATTGTGTATCTTACTCTTTCTCAGCTGCTTTAAGATAATTATCATTAATTAGGGTGATTCATGTGAATGAAGGAAAGACTGTACCTCACATTCATATACTACCTCAAGAGCTTGTCTAAATACCCGATATACAGCCATGATCCTCCTCATGCAGGAGAAAGAGTGCCTTTACTTGGTTTAAAATAAGTATTTCTGGAGTGACACAAAGCAAACCAGAATCCTCTTTAGGACATCCACCTATAAGAAGGGTGCGGTAAAAAGATCACCCAAGGAAGAAATCATATGGCAGACTGGAAGAGATACTCTCATTTCCCTTGTGGGCAGGTGAGGCCAGGTAAGGAGGCTGTTAAAACAGTCACATGCCAATGAGCCAGAGATGAAAGGTAAATTGCACCATACATAGATGGGAGGCAGTGTTAGAGGGGATGTTGGAGCTTCGTGAAAAGGCTTGGAGAATAATAAGGCTAGTGAGCAAAACCTGCTATGGCAATTTCCCAGCTAGAGGGAGGATATAAGCTCTAAGATACTGGTGACGTCTAGAAGGGAAAAGACTTTTCTCTGATGGAGAGCTGACTTTGCACAAGGCTACCTTCCCATAATTTCAGTGTAATTATGAAGATGAATTTTGAAATCTATGCACACCCCTATGAGTTCAACAGAAGGTAAGAGTTTGTCATGGGTGAGAGCTTACTTGGAGTGCTAGGTCTCTGGTTCAGCTGTTTGTTCATGCTTTTGGCTTGTTTTCTGTAGGGAACTCTGCAGGAAGAGACGGTACAAGAAAAAGCAGTGAGATGGGCTGAGACTCATGTTGACAGCCTGCTTACACAACATCTTAAAAAACCTGAATCACTGAACAGCAATAGGCAGGGCACCAGCAAGAAGGAACAAGCTTTAGACTGGAGAATGTCCTACTGTAAAACACATAGATGACTACTGTACACAACTTGACCCATTCCAAAGTTTTGTGAATGGGTACAATTTTAGGATCCAGGAACCGGCACCGGGCCTGCTGGTGACAGATGGAGTTCAGCTGTCTCACAGGGGGAAAAGGATTCTCGCTCATGAATTGGTGGGGCTCATCAAGAGGGCTTTAAACTAGGTTCGAAGGGGGAAGGGGATAAAACCAGGCTCACTAGAGATGAGCCTAGGGGTGGCATGCCAATGCTGGGGGCGAAATCGGTAGCCCAGCTCAAGTGCATCTACACCAATGCACGCAGCATGGGCGGCAAGCAGGAGGAGCTGGAAGCCATTGTGCAGCGGGATAGATATGACTTAGTCGCCATCACAGAAACATGGTGGGGTGATTCTCACGATTGGAGTGCTGCAATGGATGGCTATAGACTCTTCAGAAGGGACAGGCAAGGAAGGAGAGGCAGTGGGGTAGCTCTGTATGTTAGGGAGTGTTT